ATGGTAATATTCTACTACTAATTACTATGGACGACAAGTCGAGCCTTATACTTTAGGAACTAATTATACTTATTTAGCTTATAGGTGTATACCTATATATAGTTAAGGATTTGGTAGCCTACCTATTTAATTGGCCTCTATTAAATCTCAATCCATAATTTTATCTAATAATAGCTGGTAAAGTACACGCGCTTAGCCTCCTTAAACTTATTACACATGGGATGATTATTAAATCGTGTACCCACTATAGGAAGTAGGGGTAACTCGCTTCTATAAGGCTTAATACCCTTAGTTAATAGTCATCTAATCTGCGCCTTATTAAGGTGTTTACCTATAGAGACAGTCAAACTTCTCTCACACAACTGGTCCTGGTTATAGCTGCCAACCTGAGCAGCCGCCGCTTTAACCTGAGTCAAGCATGAGCGAACCCTGAGTTCAGGCTGAGCGGACTGAGCGGAGGCTGCGCAGCATGAGCCGCCCCCTGTCTAGCATGAACAGGGTCTGTTTCGGACCCCCTTGAAGCCGGCTGTTCTTGCCCAATCGCGAAACTTTGAGCAAGGGTGACTAAAATGGACCACGCCTTTGGAAAAGTTCCCAGAAACTGCCTCTAATCTTTGCGAACACCAATCTCCCAACCGCATGGGAACTACAGAGCGAAAACATGCGACCACTCTACTGCATTCATTTTCATCAATAGTGTTCAGTTCACTCGTGGTTCTCCTACTAACAATTGGATAGTTCAGCAAAGATCGTTTCCTACGCTCTCTCGCGTCCGGCCTAACCGCGAAACAGAAGGGCTCCAACGCCAAAGTGAATCCAATGATACCGATGGCCAATAATTGAATCCCTCGGTCCTTACGAGTAAGTCAAGGGCAGGCCTCTTCACAGAAGACAGCCATCGGCCCACTCTATCTGCCACAACAACTGATTGGCACCCCCCCGGCAGCGACAGCAGAATCCAGGCATGTAATTGTCAAAGAACAGCGGTGCGCTAGAGAATCAAGGCTTTCTTCGGGCTGAGCGAGTGGTGAAGGATTCATATCATGCAGAGCGAGACACGGTCAGTCTCGACAGGCCAGCAGGATGGCGCAGAGTGGAGTTGAGCTCCACAGATATGAATAACTCAAGGATGTCCTTGCGCCGGCATGGCCGACCGGAAGCTGATTGAGTGTAGTTAATTCATGCAGACGCAATGGACGGACAGCTATAGGATCGGATGCAACGGCAGCACTCGCAACGGCAGCACTCCTCTAGGCTGAGTGATTAACGTTTAGATCTTTTCTAGAAGAGAGCAATAGTTGCGATTGGGGCGTCAGCCTTCACAGGAGGGTGGAACTAAGCTAAGTTGAGGCAGTGCTGGCCTCACCGGGCTAGCAGAGCGGCACAGAATTCATGCAAACATGGCTCAGCGATGGCGGATGTGGCATCGGCGACAAATGCAACAGCAGGATTGGACAACTTTGCCCTCTCTAGGAGTTGATTGAGTGGGGCGACTTCATGCGTAATTAGACGTTATACGGAGATAACTGGAGTGTATTAGGCATGGATGTAAGGGAGAGCTGAGATTGGAAAGTGATCAAGTGGCTGGACTTGATAGTAGAACTAATGAGGCGGCGGAGACTTATGCACGCCACAACAACTGCGACTTTGAGTTGAACGAACCTGGCCATTCCCTGCACATTATGGAAAACCTTAACGAAGTGTGTATACTGTAGACCATTTCTGATAGGGCAGCTTCTAGGCACACATCATTCGGTGCCCGGAAGATATTAGTGGCAACGCCCGGTGTTCAAGATCGCAGGAGACGGTCACGGAGTTAGCCATTCGCCCTGGCCGTGCAGACATGAGAGTCGAATTTCAGTTAGCTGACAGGCACATGATTTGCTAGTTGTTGATCTTCATTTATGGTTCTGAGCCGGCCAAATTTGTCCAGCGCGATGGGTCCAAGAACAGTGTCGGTGAGGATGGTAAAGTCAACGTCACGCACAACGTCTCCTTTCCTGTTGCATGTTTCATGTAATTAGCGCAGGTAGTCGGTATTTCAGCCTTCTGATTGCAATCAAAACGTTCAAATGCGCCGACCTTTCGTCCGTGTCACATTGGAGCTTTTCTTCGACGTATGGAAGCTAGTGCTACCGGTACATATGCTTGGCAGTCAGATCGCCGGAATCCACAAATCTGGGCCTCTATATGGAGGCCTTCTTTGTAGCTATTTTTGGGCCTCATTCGTTAGTGGTGTGTTCTGGAAACGGTGCGGGTCTTGGGAACCTCTACACTGCTGGTGTCAGACTGCTTTATTCCTAATAGTTCTAAAAAAAAAAAAAGTTAAGTTGAATTTCTTTCACAGAGATTGGCTGCAACTAGCGCATGGTCGACCAGCCTCTAAAAGAGGTCGCATTACATACACTTACAATGCGCAGCTTGACCCCAGTATAGACTGGAATCTCGCCTGCAATACAATGCTGGCGCGCGGGCGTCTCACGATCTCGCGCCAAACCTGGTGATTTTGTGGTTGAAAGAAGATTACCATTAAGTTACCGTTCGATAGGTAATGCAATATTTCTGGGCAAATCCGATCCCTCCAAATCGTGCCGTGCTGCCCTCAATATCTCTCTCATCTCGTCGTATAGCTTTGGATTCGGATCTCTCCACCTCCCACCACCGGGAAACACCTTTCGCCGTAGTTTGTTGATGCAAGGTATTAGTGGCTGGTAGTATGGCGTGAATGTTTCACCTGCGATCCTTAGAAAATCCCTTTCGTCGTCCACAACGCCTTTTTTCGCGCCAGCTAATTCTTCTGCGTCAAGATAATTCCATTTGTCAAATCGCGGTACTGTTCTTCCTTGGCCTGGTCCAATGTAGTGAACGCATATCCAAAACAACACCCAGAAGAACGATTCCAGGTCGTGCATGTACGAATGATTCTCGTTATCTAGAAGCACGCCAATCGCCATAAAGGCTCTTGTGCCAGTCTTCCCATGCGCACCAGAGGACTTCTCGCGCTGCTCCTTGATAGCAAGATCAAGGTCGATGATGAACGCAGGCCAAGAAGGGTTTTCTTTGTCTTCATTGACCATGAGATTATTTGGCGAAATGTCGCTTTGCAACAAGCCGGCTTTTGATTGCAACGACTCATATCCTTCAATGCAGCCCTCCAACGCAGCGAGTAGTTTTGTCGGCGAGCTCGCTTTGTATATGGGTACGCCGAGATCATAGAGAATGACACGCCGATGTACTCGATTTGCTATAGCTTTTCCACCTTTAACGGGCGAGCTCGAGCAAGTTCGCTTGCTGGGGGGCAACGGCGCGTTCATGCAGCTCGAGGACCGCTTCCTCCTGATTGCGCTGCTGCTGCTACGACCGGTTCGTGAGCCACGATGTCCGTTCGTGCTCGGAGGCGGCATCGTCCTGTAGTTTGTCGCTTGAGTTACGTCCAGGCCTCGTCGCACATTCTCGCGTATGTCATCCTGCTGTTCGCCCACATGGACTGTTCCATGGTGGTAGTGTCTTGCAACATTGGCCACACCCTTCTCAGCTGCCTTTCGTAGATGCTCTCCCTCTTCGTCGCGTTCAGGATATTGCCACGAATCTTTAATAACAAGAGGCCTTTTTGATTCGTCTCCCTCACGATGGGCTTTCCAGCATGTCGTTGCTCGACCAGCAACGCAGGGTGTTCGGTTTATCACCCCGTCAATGATGAGTCGTTCAGCGCAGCCATTCCGTTCGATATCGACGTATTGCTTATTGCCGTCGGTGATGATAGTAGGGTCGAACCCAAGCTGCTCTTCGTCCAGCCATAAGAAACCAAGTACGGCGGACACGAATTGCAATCCGTCCTCGTTAATATCGAAGGAATTGGATGCAATACCTCCTAGCCGGTCAAACTCCCACAGCCGCATGCGCGGTCCACATAACGTAAAGCCGAGGACGAAACGGCGAGTAGGCTGAGCAGCGAACACCTCCCTCGTGTAGCGTCCTAGATCGAGCCAAGCTTTAGAGGCCCTATCTTCCAAAGGATTACTCTTAAGTTCTCCCGGTATAAGTATGTGTGACCAGCGGTACTTGGCATCTGCCTCGGCGAGTGGGTCGTCTACGAACCCGACGTCCATCTTGCGTTCGGCAATGGAGCCTTGAAGGGGCTTGTGGGGCTGTGCGAGCGGTCGCCGTCGAGGCCTATAGGTGGATTCTTTCTGTGCGGCGAAGTCTACAAGCTGGCCGATTAGCGGCGCGAACCAACCTAAGACGTCGCGTTCCTTCGCGCTTTCAGGCCAGTCCTGCCAGCCACTCTCCTCTCGGTAGAGCGGATTATCCCCTTCTTTGCACTTGTCGAACACTGCCTGCGCTACCGACTCCAGACCTGGGACGCTTCCGAAGTAGGCATCGAAGAAACCAGGGACCCCAACGTATAGCGGCCCTAGTTCCTCCTTTAACACGTCATCCACATATTTGCGATGTTCGGTAGAGTTCGCGAAACTGCCCGTGTTGTGCAGCCATGGCGTCTGCTGAAAGGAGGCGGCGAGGGATGGGGCGGACAGCGGAGGAGTCGTGGGTATGGCGACTGTGAAAGCTGTGAACGCGGCGACGGCGGCGTAGGCATTGTCCCATATAACTTCATCGGGCTCGTTGTTGAGGACCGCTCTGAGGAGCGGTATGATATGCCCGATGTCGAAGTTGCCGGAGTTGACTGCTGAACTCAACTCTAACAGATCGCCAAATAGATTCACGCTGTTGCTCTTAGAAGGAAGTGAACGCGTGACGGGAAGACCCTGCAAAGCATATATCAGGTCAAGGAGGGAGTTTTTCGGTCCTGATGATGTTAGGAAATCTCGCGAGTTTGATGTTGAGCCGTACCTTCCCCACTAATATGGTACAATGCATCAGCACCCGTGATGCCTAGGCCTCTGTGTTTGAATTCGAAAGAGTCGCGAAAGGTATTGAGTCCTTTGCCAATGGGGTTTGCCTCGATTACCTTTGATCGCGACCCATCGGCCATAGCGCGAGAGCGCAGCGAACGCTCCAGGTATTCAATAGAAATGGCGATATGAACTGCAGTGAAATGGAGAGCGAGGAATACCCGTAGAGAGGGGGTGTTGGGAGCTGGTTGAGAGAAGATACAAATCGGGGGATGGGCGTTTGTGAGAGTGAAAGACGGCTGGAACGCAATGAGCTGACCGTGCGACGCAGGTAATGCCAAGCCGGGAATTCTTCGGAGCCAGAGTTATACCATCGGCGAAAATAATTTACCGATCAACTCGGACAACTTCGACATTGAGCATCTGCTCGCGGTGCGTATCTAGGGCTCTCTACAACATCGACCGTTTATGCAGCAGAGCTGGACGGCGTCAGCCTGGCGCTGCAGATCGCAACGGTGGAGTGTATGCCTCGTCTCGCAACGATCGCGAGGCCGGGAGCAGCGCGCGTAAAAGCGGTGTGGTGAAAGCTGATGAGACTGACATTAATGGGTGCGGAGTGGCTATTGTTGGGCTCAGCGCCTCGTCCCCTTGGCGACGGGATGACTCAGCACTCAGCGCAAACTCTCGACCGCGATTCCAACCCTCGACCGCGATTCAAACCCTCGACCGCGATTCAAACCCTCGACCGCGATTCAAACCCTCGACCGCGATTCAAACCCTCGACCGCGATTCAAACCTTCAACCGCGATTCAAACCTTCAACCGCGACCCGTTCAGTGTCACCACAGATCATACAGCGTTTGAGATGGCCGTGGAGCGCAAGTATGACAACGATCATATTAAACAGTCCCTGAAACAAATTAACCCGGAATCTTGGCTTGTTGGAAGCTTAATATTGCGCCGATTACCATATTTTTCAGAGAATGCTGTCTGGAACGACAGCGACGATAACTCAAGCTACGAGTTGAAACAAGCGCCCAATCTCTATGACTGGACGGCCATGGAACTGGACAGCCCCTACATTACACTCATCCACGAAGCTGGGGATGCTTCCGCAGTCTGGTCTATTGGCAACAATGCCTTTTGCAAAGTCAAGTATATTGAGAGGGGCGTCACGCCTGAATCAGTCACTTTGAACTTTGTTCAAGAGCAGAGGCCTAGTTTCAGGACGCCCAAGGTATTACACTACTTCGTTGATAAGGACCGGTCATACCTTTTCCTTGAGAGACTACCAGGTCGAACGCTTGCCGAGGCTTGGCCAAGTCTGAGCATGGAATGGCGGCGCTCTTACGTATCTGCTGTGGTGCGTATCTGCAAGGAGATGGCGGAGTGGGAGGGGAAGATGCTCTCCGGCGTCGACGGCCAAGGTATTCCAGAGTACTACCTCCAACCCCGCGGCGTCGACGACTTCACCTCACTTCAAGAAACATGCGCTACAATTGGGATGGACTGTTCTACTTTCTTTTTCTATCATGCCGACCTTGGACCTTGTAATATCATCGTTGAAGATGAGCCAGAACGTGGGACAATTGGGATCATAGACTTTGAGATTGCAGGCTACTTTCCGCGCGGGTGGATCAGAACGAAGTTCCGCATATCGAGTGGCATGAACTTGCCCCCATCAAGCAAGCAAGAAGACCCATTATGGTGGAGGAGACAGGTTCAGATGGAACTCGGGGTAGATGGGTTTGAAGATTTCACTGAGGAGTGGCAGGCATGGTTGGCAGGATAGTATATTATCAGTCAAACTATAACGAATGTTACAAAGAGAAGACCATTCCCCCTTGAGTGCGTCCTGAGATATGTCCACCAAGTATTCGGTCATGTATGGGATCAACCTGCAAGTGACCGTTACTGGAAGTTAGGCATGATGTGGGAATATTGATACCATTTAAGCGATGGTAGGGAGTGCAGCACCGCAGGTACTATTATCCGCCAATTTTCCTTCACAGTATTTCTTGCCAGATATATTGTTGTACCCGCACTTGGGGCAGGCCACCATGTCAACAGGCGGGATGGGGGTGACGATTGCCATCGGGAATAACGGAAAGATATGATATTGGTAGTAGTTAGATGATCGTGAGAAGGTAGGAGAGGCGATAGGCGATAGTGCTGTATCGTTGCGTTCAAACTTATATATGTCTATCACTGTGTGGCTACGCGGCGCGTGCTGCTCGCATAGGGATGCTGCTGCCTACCACAGGTACCTCGTGGAACATCGCTTCTGCCGTCTGGCCTCGCGCATCGAAGGCGTCGCTCCGGAGGGCGTTTTGATAGGTCGAGATACGACGACATGATACCATTCGACATCTCCGACATGCATGTATGCGGGAGAGAATGGCCGGCTAGACGCGCAGATGCCACAACGTCGGACGCACATCACAGCTTAGAGCGCTCCATGTTCATCAAACAAGGTTCTTCAACCTCGTCGGGCTTGCATCAACCGCAATCGTGCATTCATGTCAGATTCGAACCCAGAGCCAAGACCCCACCAGACCAGAGCGCAGCTCTATGCTATCACTGGGCCGCATCTGCACCCACCTGCGCGCTAATCTAGACCCTTTATTGAATGGTCCATCCTATTGTACGGGGTTATAAGCCAGTGTACGAGCGAGCGCTGATTGGCAGTCGGCATCTAGGATTGACGGCGACCGTGTGTCGGTTAAATAGGCGACGTCATTCTTTAAATGAAGGCCTTATCTTTCCCTCTGTTCCATTGGCCGAAGTAAGTTCTACGCGCCCGCGTTGTCTTACCCGCGCCACCCTCGTCCAGTATTCTTTGGTCGCACTGCCCTTGTCCAGTATTCTTCAATCGCACTGCCCCTGTCCAGTATTTTTCAGTCGCACTGCCCCTGTCCAGTATTTTTCAGTCGCACTGCCCCTGTCCAGTATTTCTCTGTCCAGTATTTTTCAGTCGCACTGCCTTTGTCTAGTATTCTTCAATCGCACTGCCCTCGTTCAGTATTCTTGAGTCGCACTGCCCTTGTCTAGTATTCTTCAATCGCACTGCCCTCGTCCAGTATTCTTTAGTCACCCGTATGGCTTCCTGCGATACCACCAGCTTATTGGAGCAGATCGAGGCGAACATTCTGGCCAGGGATGATACACCATTTGACGAAATTAATGAGCATCTGAAAAAACTCCAAGCGCTCGCCGATGTGTACAGTACGTTTGTATCAACTGCTCATACACTGACGGACCATGCTCAAGATCACATACTCCCGCAAAAGCTAGCATTGAGGGTTAAGAAGATGATCAAGTTTACGTTTGGAGACCCAAGCCGCGCTGCAGATTCCGACAAAGTAAGGAGTGCGCGACTGCGAAAGCTTGACTGTAACGCGTTGAAGTTCTGTGGACTGGCATACAAGGTTAACGAAGTATGCCTACTTTCCGAGCTACACTTCGATCTGCTTCTCGAAAAAGTTACTGAATTTGTCTGTACTCGAGGACTCATAGAGTATCTATACCGGGACGACATCAGCAAGGCTGTCACGACGCAATTGAACCTGGCAGACGAGGAAAGGGATCGAGAATATCAGAAATTCTTGATTGGTAATTTCCATTGCAGCTTCATACGTTGATGTGACTGACAAAGCCAGCAAACATCAGCTCAAGACCGCTGAAAAGGTCGCGTGCAACATATGACGGCAGCGGCACTTATTCCACTACCGTCGTACCGAATGAATCACCATCTAAACGGCAGAAAACTGTGACTGGGTCTTGCCTCTTCGAGTGTGAGTTGAATACCATATATCAATGTTGATGCTTATTCCTTTTGTAGCCTATCTGGGTTCCGAGGTTTTCGTGTTGACCATGCATCAAGTCGAGGAGATCATTCAGTCGGGTCGATTTGGTAGTGATATACGGTTGATAGTGCCAATTTACCTGGAGACCCCGCCATTCATCACAATTCCGATAGCTAATGATGTAGCTATACATCACATGACAACAAGGCTAGCAGGGACGTCATGAAGTCATTTTCTCATCTATAACGTACCTAAATCTAAGTGTGCCTGTGCAGAGGAATACCCATTTAGGGTTCCAACAGATCATAACTAATGGTGTCTCCTTCCCAGCACCACCAAGGTAATCAAATTCCTTTGTATTCTTCCTGTTGTAGATTCTGAAGGCTCCCGAGGCTTGCGTATCAATCAACACTGCTGTCGTTTTTGGAGGCGCTTCCTCGACACCTCGGGCTGGAGGTCTGTGTTCCCATTGTAATAGTTCGCAGCTGTTGCTTCCTGTCTGCCCAGGGGTCAACGTCTGTTTCTGTCGGGAAAACCGAAGCCCTTCTGACCTTGTCTTTGAAAAATTCTAGAAGCAGATCTTTATATCCATCCGGTATTTCGATCCTCTCCACCCTCGTCGCCATTCATCCAATTTGGTCGGCGCGGTTGATAATCGTTGGGGATATCGAGCGCGAATCGTATGGATAATGCTGTGCGTCTGTTCAAGTGACTCTTGCGGAAATTTGGCTGTTCGGTCACGAAACGTAATAGGATGGGTGGAATAAAGACGTTCGTCGGCCAGAAAAGTTTGCCGGAACGCTCGGACCTCCCACGTGTTAGGCTGCACGGCTGCCCAAACCCGATCATGTGCCCCTCATCTGTCGTCATATAGTGTGAGCGTTCCCTCGTAGAAACCACACAACGACCCTTCACAAACAACCGTTGATTCGGTGAACCTTTCCTTCGCTATGAAGATGACCTTACCATCACTGGTAAACGAGTGTCTTTACAACGGCACAACTAAGGTGGAAGATTGCCATGAACCTTCGTGTGCTAGTTCCAAAGACAATCCCAAGGTGCGATGCTTTTTCTGACCTTGCACAATCAACTTATTGATCTTCATTAGAATCAAGGTGCGACTTGACCGGGGTCGTTTTTCGAGTTGCGACTTGGCCGGGGTTGTTTTTCGAGTTGCGACTTGACCAGGGTTGTTTTTCGAGTTGCGACTTGACC